AGTGGACACAGGGGGTTGCAGAGATTATTAGTGGGGTGGATAGGTGCAGAGATTATTAGTGGGGTGGATAGGGGCAGAGATTATTAGTGGGGTGGATGGGGGGGAGCAGAGGTTCTCTGTGAGGAAACAGTGGCAGAATTCGAGCCAGCCATCTATTCTCATCCGTCAGTGTGTGTGTGCCTCCTCCTGCTGCGATCCACATATCCGATATCTGTCACATAGACACAGACATCGGGGAGGATGCCTGAGAGATATGGAAGGTGCGGATGGGGAGGACACAGCAGAAGAACAGGTAGAAGCAGAAATTTAATTTGATAAATGATTGATTAATGTTCATTTTTTCCAGGACTAATAAAGTATAAAGCAAAGCAGGTTTTGTTAATACAGATTTTACTAATGTATCCATTTAATTTACATTGGGGGGACCATTGCCATTGTCTGTGGCCCCCTAATTCAGGCCTTTTCCAGCAGTGCTCGCAAAAGAGGCCATTGCAGGTCTAGAAATAAGTAACAACTCTGAATAGGGGGTGCAGGAGAGGTAGAGCTCCACTCTCCACAGCATAGGTTGCAGTTTCTGTCCATTTTGTGCACCACTCCCGCTATATCGATAAAGGCAGCTGCCTCAACTGCCTACCCCTTGGCCTGGCACTGATATCTTGGCCGGGCGGTGAGGAGAGAGAGAGAGAACCGCTCGGCCAACATCTTTTCCATATGATTGGACATATACAGTTGTGGATGTGAACTCTGCTAAGGTGATCGCTAAAAATATATTCCCAGAACGAATGCAGGGACAGAAAGGAAAAGGGCCCCAGTGCAATACGCAGGAAAGCAGCCCTAAAATATACCAGATGTGACTTGCCAAACATAGTACTGAGTACCGATACCAGTACTTCCGGTAGCATGGAGCCGGCTTCAAGGCAATCAGGAAGCTGGGCAGCGCGTCATTACCTGCCTTCCGGCTTCCTGATTGCCCGGGAAGCCTGGTCCATACTGTTTGGCTGGCTCCATGCTGTTTGGCTGGGAAGCCGGCTTCCTAGCCAATCAGCATGGAGTCGGCTTCCTGGCCAATCAGGAAGCCAGCTCCATGTTCCATTGCGCCACTACTTGTCAGAGGAAATCTCCCTCTGGTCGGAAGTTCTGGTATCAGAGGTAAGTATCGGAGCATTTGGGCGAGTGCAAGTGCTAGTATTGGTGCATCCCTAGTAATTACAGAACACAGATTCCGTTTATAATCTTTTCTAGGGCTATCAACAAATCTGTCCAGGCCATTTTAGAATAATTTTGTAGAATAAGTAATAGTTTATCTATTTTCACTCTTTCTTTGCTTTACTGTGAGACATACCAAAAAAAAACAAAGTTCATATTTATCTGATCAGAACAAAAGTAATATGCTACACACAACATACATACTATTTTTACAACTCCTTGTAGACCTGATTGCCTAAATCTCCACTTAGCTATGGAGCAGGGCTGTAGCTACCATGGGGCGAGTGAGGCACTCGCCTCAGGCGCAGCTGAGAGGGGGGCGCAGCCAAGGCCGGCCTGGCTACACCCTCTTGCCCCTGTTGCCATGGCGAGCACAGGGCGCCATTGGCAACAGGGGCGCCAGGCGGCCAATTAACTAATGAAAAAAATGTTTTCATTAGTTTCGTCAAACAAAACAAACTTTATGCTATTTTGGATTTGGCCACCAGCGCATTCTGCGCATGTGCTCCGCCATCCTGGCACATGACATCGCATACCACACAGGTCTGTTGGGGGGCACAATTCTCTGTTCTTGCCTCGGGCGCAAAAGGAGCTAGCTACGGCTCTGCTATGAAGGTTAAAAAAAAACTATTAAAGTTTATATTTTTCTGATTAAAACAGAATTAACATGCTGTACATAGTATTTCTACATTTTATTTTTCTCCATTTAGCTTAACAGGACCACAAATGTCACAATGTAATACGTATATTATTCAGATTACTGTAGAAGTAATATGCCACACATAGTATACGGAGCATTTCTAAACAGGCCCGGATTCCCCACAAGGCCACCGAGGCCCGGCCTCGGGGCGGCAGGGCGCAGAGGGGCGGCAGCGGTGTCCTGGTGGGGAAGTTGCCCTCTCTACATTCAGTCCTGCTTTGCACAAGCTGAGCTAAATATAGAGTGAGGCAGCCGATTGGTCGTTTACATGTGAACTCGGCGATGCCGCCAAGATCACATGTAAACGGTGTGCAGCCTCCTCCCCTCCCCCCCCTGCACTTACCTCTCTCCTTTGGTTCCGTCCTCCTCCGCCGAGTCCCGAGTCTCTGACTGCAGTGAGCAGAGCGGCCGGGTTATAAGTAACCCTGCCGCTCCGTGTAGACTGTATACAGTGAGAGGGGAGAGCTGTGCTGTGC